AAATTTAATAGAATAACAAAACGTAAAAAAAAAAAAAAAAAAAAAAAGAAGAATTTATTTTCACCAGAGATTTAATATAAAATCTTTTCTTCTTTCTGTAAACTAACCTTTGAGAAACACGCTCCCATGTGCACCTTTGGTGTGGGAGGCAGTCCATTACTTATGGGTCTCGGTGGCGTATGTCTCTTTCGATCCCTTCTCCTTGGTGGGACGGGCGGCGTGTCAGAAAGTAAGTCGGGACTCATACTTTCTCTATCTCGATCGGCCGATACTTCATTATCACCTGAAAAAATTATGCAAGATATATTAAGATAACAAATGAAAAAAAAAATAATAATAAAAATTTTTAAAAATAATAATAAGCGATTTTTTTAAAATAATCTTTTCAATAGCAGGCTACGAGGGGAGATATTGCCGTGTGAACATTTACTATCTAAGTGATAAGCTCGTGATGTATATACCGTTTGACTGTGCGGGCTCGTCCCTAGGGCCGCTGTCCGATAATGATCGTTGACGTTGCCCATTCACAGCTGTTAAGGTCTGAGAATTATTGAGGATACCTATTGACGAGTATAATTTATCCACAGAGTTGTGACGTCTGGGGCTTGCTTGAGACCCTGCGCATGAATCTACTCTTCAATTGCGTATGTGAGAATTTCAAGAAAAATGTAAAAATATAAAAAGATAATAATCGAAGCTCAACGAATTAAAAATCAAATACATAATAAAAAAAACTTGTGAACCACACAAAAATCGAAAATGTCAGCGACTCGTAAATCTTTATGTTTAACATTCGATTTCGTATATATATATATATATATATATATATATATATAAATTAACACTGAAGATAATTTAATTTAGGTCGACGTGTTTGTGATTATTTAGAAAAATGTCAGAACAATTGTACGAACATTGTACGAATTAAAATCTAATTTGGTGGTCACTTATTGTCAACGTAATTTTTAAAAAAGAAGATAACTTGAATTATGCAAACAACGAAAGTCTCCTCATCAATTTGTGATATAACTCACATACCGGACACATTGTAATACGGACAATGGACCTCGCAGTCATTTGAAGATTCCCCTAGTGGAAGAGTAGCTCTAAAAAAGAAAATATTTAAACGCCTGTTAACGTGCATTCACCTTTTTCAAAATGATTATAAAAGAAGAAATGTAAAATGTTGTTAATAAAAGACAAATAAAATATGCATTAATGATTCACATATCGAAAGTTAACAAATAAATGTTTGGATGTATATTCTTCTTCTTGGGGGGGGGGGGGGGATATATACAACAGCTTTCTCTGAATGAAAAAGTCAAATGAGACGTAATGGAAAAATAAATTAAAGATGTAAAGCTGCATATTTCTAGCAAATTTTAGTACGTCACAAGACAATCGCGTTATTGAGATGTTAACAAGGTAACATAAAAGGCTTATATTCTGGTGAATTATAGAATATGTGGACAAATTTAACATATATTGTCAATTAAACAATATGCAGAAACAGATGCATCAGCTTTTTTAATATTCCCCGCATAATTGAATCAAATTTCTTTATTCCTTTGTTTATCTTTATATTGCTAAATAATAATGATCAAGTAAGAAAACATTTAAATATTTAAGATATAAGCGTATTAATGAAATGATAATTCGCGCAGTTGTGATCCATGTTTTTTCAATAAGTTTTAATTAATGATTCGCAATAAAATAAATCTTTTTCTCATACATAATACATCGACTGAGAAGTGTGTTATCAAAAAATAAATTTGTTTACTGTAATTCATTACTTATATTCATTATTTACTTACTGCAGGGAATATAGCTGGTCGCAATGCCCACCAACCATCGACATTGCATTCCCCCTGCACACATGTGAAACTGTGGTCATATACTATAAAATTATAAACCAGTTTTGTGATGCTACTTGATATACTATGACATGTCTTGGAATAAATAATGTACTTAATGATGCCATATAAATAAAATACAAAAATATAAAATACTTGATAAAAGCGACTAATACTGTTTCTGCTTTTCAAAAAAAAAATAATATATATATATCATATTTTTATAAAAAAATTATAAAAAATGATCTAACGGACTTTAATGCATTTTTTAAATTATAATCTTGAAATATAATCTTAATATTTTTCATGATTTATTATATAAGAAAGTCTATGACATTTGTAATTTCAATTGATTTTCGCAAATTACGTCTTAAGTCTCTAATGTGAAAATATAGTAATGTGTAAATATATTAACAGTTAAAGAACATAGAATCGAAAGAGGCAATCCTGTGACAGAATATAATAGAAAATTTAATTAATAAACATCTTATGTTATGTATATGTATATGTATGTAAATTTCCTTCACCAATATGGCTGATACTTTTTAGAAATAGTTTCAATGTATTCAGAATGTAGAAAAAAAAAACTAACATGCAACATACAACATTGATATGCGTAATATGAAGGAAACATATTTCAATATTCTATATCTACCTAAAAGTTGTGCACATGAATGTTTTTCTATAAATCACAGTGTTGATTAAGTTCATGATAATGAATTGTGCTTCCTTTTTCTTATATAGGTCTTTTTTCAGTTTTGTTACACAATTTTATAATCACTTTTGTATTATTTAATATTTAATTATAACTTTAATGTCGTTTAGTTATGTTAAAATACTATATATAAACATATAATCTCCTTTCCTGGCGAATGTAATTAGTTGAATTTTTTCTCAAATATTACTTAGAGATTATATAATTCCCTATTCAACTTAAATGTGACATAAGGGATAATTTGAAAATTATACAATTATATGTGCAATTTCTAAGAAATTAAATAAAAACAAACTAAAGAAAAATGCGTATTAATTTAAATCATGTTAATATTTGCAATAAAAGAAACAAAATGTCAAAGAAACATAAGCGAGTAAACAACGAATTGATCGTCCGAATAATGCAATTTATAAGAATTATACGCAGAATTAGGAGACATAAGTGCAAGGTGCAAGGTGCAAGGGAAAAGGGTTACCTGCCAATACCTTAGCAACAACTCCTCATCAATGTACTGCAATAGACTCCTGTTGGGAGAAATTATTAGAATTACAAACTGATCAGAAAAATTAAAAATATACAAAGAATAATAGGATTACACAAATCAAATTTTATGGCACAGAGCAGGTGTGCTACAGGAGCGAGGATATAAATAGTGGCAGGATATAAATATTATGACCGAATACTACATTATTGAAAAATATATCGAGAATATAGAAATTTTCGTACAAACTAAACGACGGTCTGAAGAAGTCTCATTGGACATTTTTTTTATATGAAAAGAACGCACAAGTTATAGATACATAGAATCAATCATCTCCTTTTCATTCAGTTCTAATCCAGAATAATTCTAATGGATGGGTTATGTCGGTGTATATATCTATATATGAAATGTATATATCTCAAAATGATCATTCTTACTTTGTCAAAATACATAATACAACATTCTTCAATAACTTTGCTATCAATCATGCAATATCATACAAGCAATCACATTTATTGCCTACATGCAAAAAGTAGTGTATTGTAATTTCGTATATGTACAATATATTATCAAGTCATTTCGATTTTTCGATTTAAAAGTCGTCCGTACGCGATACATACATAATAAACTTTTTGTTATGCAGAAAAGTTTAATATATATATATATATATATATACACACACACGCCCCGCCCCCCCCACACACACAACAAATAACTATATATATATATATATATATATATATATATATATAATAAATTAATGTATCTAGATTCCTGATAATGATCTAATTATTATAAACAAAAAGTTGATAACAGCTAGAATTAAAATTCGAGTAATTCATAAAACCATTTTATTTGTTATATATATTTCATATAAAATAAATATCAATCTACAATGTGAATAAATTATTGTAATCTACATTTTTTTATCTTAAACATTATTCAAATATTTTACTTCAAAACTGCTTTATTTCCTCCTTCTAATTTTAAATAAAGATTAAATAATAAATATTTTACATACTATGATATATATCCTGTAACGATCCACCACCACAATATTCCATACATATCCACAACTTATCTCTCCTTAAATAACTGCCGTAATATGCAATAATATTTGGATGTCTGCAGTCCTTCATCATTAGAATCTCTTGTTGAATGATTGCAAAGTCATCGCCTAAAAGATACATATAGACATTGCAAACTAGTCTACTTCGTAACACGCTATAATAAAATTTCTAAGTCGGTATTTTCACTGTGACGACAAAGTATACGTAAACAAATGATTTAAACATCAGAGCAATTCTCTTGTACATTTCCATGTCGCCTTCCATGACTTATGCAAAAAAAGTCACAATGACACTTGATGAACAAAAGGTATAACAGAGAAACCAAGCGCGATCACCGCGTGACGATCTCAAACATTTTACAGACGTCAAGCGTTTACCTGGCTCCAGCTTGATAACCTTAATCGCCGCGAGGTCGTTCATGGAGAGCCGTTTAGCCTGCGAGAGAGGAAACACAATAAATTGGTCACTTCGATTGTAATTATCGATAAAAGGATCAAGTCGAAGGGAATACCGACTTTGTAGACATCGCCGTAGGTCCCGCTTCCTATCCTCTGAATGAGCTCGTACTCGTCCTGGGGATTTCTACGGCTTATGTCACTGGACAGCGCGTTCGCGTTCACCGCAGCCATCGCAAACGGCGAGGGATACGTGGCGAAGGAGAGAGAAAGAGAGAGAGAAGAGCGGAACACCCGGGACTACGTGTCGTGGATCCGTTCTCAGCGTTCGCGAACTAATGACGCGCATGTACGTGCAGCCGCGTCCGGACAACGTAGCGGGAACATCTAGCCTGTCGAGATGTCATACCGTCCGTCGTGATGTCGCCATTGTTCACCACACAGCTGAATTGCTCGTCGGCGCATGCGCGCTGCGCATCCCAGGCTGGCCTAACACGCGTACGTCGGGCTTGTTCATATTTCGGGCGACCTCGGCCAAAGCTCCGTTTTTTTTTTTTTTAATAATACCTTTTATTTTTACATTAACATTTACTTTTACAAAAGCAAAATGCTATTAGCGATTTGCTAGCAGATTGGCAATTCAAATTCGATCAGATATTGGCCACGTTCGGGGAGCACGCTATTAGCGCTATCATATCATTTCATTTTTATCGTATATGTTTATATGTAAATTATAT